CGAATCACTCCACAGGAAAGATTGATCATGTCGAGCTTGAATGATTCTACATGCAACCTAAACTACATAGAATTGCAAAGAAACTTAGTCATTGGCTAAAGAAGAGCACAAATGCTTCTTTTACTACATTTTCCAAGTCTGCTTACAAATACAACATACATAGCCTCAAAATGAATGTATTAAAGGCATTCCAAGAATTGTAATATTCATACTTAATGGTCATAATTAACCATGTAACCTGATGCAAATAAAAAGTCTTAAAATACATTAATGAAATACAATAACTCTAAATTACTCTAAATTATAATCCACCCAAAATTTATAACATGAAACTTTATTCTTTTTCAACGTGGCATGAATTGAAATATCTTTTGATAATTTCAACAATATTTTCTTCACATCTTCATTGAAGTATATTGTATGATTAATATCTCTTGGTTCATATCATCCGGGGACTGTCTTATCTACACTATGAGCAAATGTTAGATGCAACCATTATAGTATAGATTTATTCTTAGATAATTACTATATGTTCTTTCACACCGTCTTAAAAAATACAGATATCTTCACCCTAAATCCTCCAACCTTAAAGAAGTATGAGAGAGGACGGATACCAGAAAGAATCACCTCAGAGCCGCCGAAATTTGAGTCAATTCAGTAACATTCTACTTTCGCTAGAGTTTCACTAACAAAAAAAAAAAAAAAAAAAAAAAAAAAAAAAAAAAAAAAAAACTTTCGAGGATGTAGGAATTCCATTCCAGTTAGTTCTGTGATTAGTATTGGGGAAAGAAAACAGAGGTAAGGAATTCGTCAACAGGAAAGATAAAACACTTTCTCTTATATACGGCTATTCTTTTGACTTTTTTTACTTTTCCTCCTGTTGTTGAAAAAATCAAAGTCCCTTTTGCCACATTTTGCTTTTTAGAGGTCTTCACTATATAGGGAAGCTAATTCAAATAAAAAGCGATTTTCCTCTCCCTATCGGTTGAGTAGCATCGCTCCTTTCTTGTTGAGAATCTTATGTCTATAGGCTTTAAAAAAAACTCGTTTACTCTAACCCGGGTAAGGTTCTTCAAATAGTTGATTCTTTCTTGTTCACTGTACTGATAAGAACAACAGAAAGCAAAGGCTAATGGATTTTGATTAAAGAGAAAAGCGTTAGTAGGAAAGTGGAAAGGTTCTTTTACTTTTCCATTATCGCTTGTTGCTGATAAGATAAAGAATCACTACAAGGGGAGTAAGATTCGGATTACCTTGTTGATCGAATATCTCAAGGCAAGAACATTGTTTGAGATTCGAATCACTCCACAAGAAATATCGGTCATGTCTAGCTTGAATGATTCTTGTTGATCAAATATCTCAAACACTTGTTTGAGATTCGAATCACTCCGCAAGTAAGATTGATCATGTCGAGCTTGAATGATTCTACATGCAACCTAAACTACATAGAATTGCAAATAAACTTAGTCATTGGCTAAAGAAAGCACAAATGCTTGTTTTACTATATATTTTTCAAGTCTCTTACAAATACAACATACATGGCTTTATATATCCTCAAAATGAAACTACTAGAGGCATTCCAATAGTTGTAACATTCCTACTTAATGATCATAATTAACCATTATGTAATTGTAACCTAAAGTAAATGAAAAGTCCTAAAAACTCTAAATTACTCTAAATTGTAACCCACCCAAAATTTATAACAATCAAACTTCATTCTTCTTCAATGTGGCATGAATTGAAACATCTTTTGATAATTTTGACAACCTTTTCTTCACATCTTCATTGAAGTATATTGTATGATTGATGTTTTTTTGTTCATATCAGTTGCTTTAAGGGTTCGACAGTGAATTCCTTCCTCCAGCGTTTCAGGGGAGCCCTAAGAAGACATGATCCCAAGCGAGCTGATTGATGCGACCAGACCTCAAACTAGGATTTCGTGGGGTCTTCCTTAGATTAGTTCTATAAAGGTTTCGGCCTCTTTTAGGTTTTTCATGGTCATTTTTAGGAGATCTTTAACCCTCTAATATACTGCCTCAGAATTTCCTCCCCTTTTGATAGAAAAAATCATGTCATTAGCATATCGAACGTAGCCTACACCTTCTTCTATTTGCATAAAGGAATTGATTTGAATATCGAGTTGGTGCAAAAATATGTGAATTAGCACGGGGGAGAGGAGCGAAGCTGCAAGACACACAATAACCTTGTTTACAGTTCGAGAATAAATAGGTTCAAGAGAAAAATATGTTTTACCTCGTTCAATCAGGGAAGGGAATAGAGGAAAAGAAAAGGTTCATGATTGAATATGCTCGACTGTAAAGGTTCAGGAGTTGTGGTATGCTTTTCGTGTAGTTTGTCAAATTCGTCACAGTTTTGTCTCTTATTAATGTTCGTAAGACCACTAAAATAAGATCAAGGAAGGCACGGTTCTCCTCATCTAAATCAGATTGAAGAACTGAGATGTGGAGCCCATGATCTATGTTATCAAAAACATTTACAATATCTAACTTAATGAGTTTCTTAACTAGACCCAGCGCTGGCTTCAAGGAAGAAAGAAACAGGACCTCGACCTTTCCTAAACCAGCATTTTACCCTAAAGAAGATTTCCAACTAACTGGATTGACGAAAAAGATCTCTTCAAAGACAATATTCAATAACTGGAAAAAGTGCATCCAAACCAATGGTATTAACTTTGTTTGTTGGGCGGGGTAATGGCTCGCAGCTCTCCAAGTTTGTTTGGTTTGTGAATCCATGAGTGCCCTTTTTCATTTTTTGCAATGTCTCTTGGGTCGTTAACTCCTTATAAATGGACTCCGTCTCCCAAAGAGAATCCATTATTTTGACTAACTTATCCATCAATTTTTTTTTTTTTTCTTAGAACTTCTAGCATAGTAGTTAGGTAAGCATTTACTTTCTTTTTTTCTTCTTGGCTGGTTCTGAATGCTGCTTGCTGGTTGGTAAACTAAGACAAATACAACATTAACATTGTATCTCACGTCTCTCATTGTTACTTTTTTCTCCCTATTTGCATTTCATTCAACTATTTCTTATGCAAAAAATAATGTGATCTATCGTCCTCCTCCTAAAATCAATAGCATTTTGTAAGAATAGGCATATTACAGATCCCTCATTCTCGGGCTCAAAATGTTTCAAAAAAAGGCGGTGGCCTGGTTTGAAAATACCAACACTTTATTTAAAAAATATTGTCCTTCTATTGAGATTGAAAAAGCAGCAAACATTAAAGAAAGAGTTCGAAATTTTGAATTGTTGCTTAAATCCGTGTATAAGGAATACTTTGGCTAATATCGATTTGTCGATAATATGTGTCTAAGGTGCCCTCTTTTAGTTGCTCTTCGTATGGGTAAAACATATACCCCATTGTTTCGATTCGACAAAAGATTTTGCCGACTATATCTCGATTTCCCTCTTTTTTTTGTACTTGACTTTGTTTTTCGATAAGATCCTAAAGTCAACAAGTGTTGCTTCATCATTTTTTTTCCAATTCAATGAAAATAGAGTCTCTTTAAGTTACGGTCGTCGTTCGTGGTCGAGCATCAGAGGTAGTTCCAATTCAATCCATAGATCTTCTTGGGAAATTTCCGCCTTAGAGGGTTGCAGGATTGCGATGAGCTAGAGCTGCCGTCGGCCTGCTAGCCGATGCTAGATTTTGAGCCTTCAAGCCCACACATTCTTCGGCCCGACACATGAAACTTCCATTATCTCAATAAAGAAAGTCAAGTAGAATTACGACACAAACCACTACTGAAACAGAAAGGTGAAAATTTTGTTTTACTCTTTCTCAATCAAACAAAGCTATGTATGACATCTCGTGTAAAAAGACACCAACAGCGTACTGGTTAAAAAGAGAAATGAATGCCACGACACCTATCCTTTTCTTTACATGTTCCGCTTGGAAAGAAAGGTCGAAATAAGAAAGACATTATTCCCTACTTGTCAAGTACCACCGACACAAAAAATTCATCTCAAGTGTTTATGTGGGGACAAGATTCAAACTTGTCGTCTTTAGGTCATGGGCCTGATGAGTCGACCAATTCCTCCACCCCACTTCTTCCCTTTATCTTTCTTTCACTATTCCTACCCCTGGGGTTGCTTGGTCGATCTCGAACCAGTGCTTAGTAAGCTAGGTCAAGGCCTCTTGTATAGGTTGGAGCTTCAAAGTGGACCAGATTATTAGAGAAATGGGAAAAAAGTTTTTCACTTACTTACTAGGGTTGGTAGCTAAATTCGATCTTCGAGACCCCATAACATAAGAAAGTCGTGGAGTGCATAAGCCCCGATAGGGAGAGGAGCTACTTTCTTGTGGTAGTCTTTTCGAATGAGCAAGTAGGGGGCGGCAACTAAAGAGGAGCGAGACTGATCGCAATTGCAGGAATAGGTTGACTTTCTTGCATTTGGGTTATGGAAAGTGAAAGTCATTTTGTTTAGTACGAGATCGCTTCACACATCGCGGTGCTTACACCTCTCGCCTATCGAAGTTCTGTTCATAACCACACTAGTAGCAATGGAGCGATTCAAGCTGCCTAACTCTTATGTGGGATAGCTTGAAAACCAATGCTTCCAAAAATTACTTACTTTTGGAGATACAAGCCTTCAACGGTCTTAACTATTTGTGTTATGGTCAAAGCGAGCTTGACTCAATAATAATTGGCAAGTCCAAACTGACACTAACCATAGAGAACTATTGCAACAAGTAAAAAATTGACCTTCAATAAACTGGGCGTGCTCGAAGTCGAGTCGGTCAAGGCTTTGTTTGTTGACTTCTTTACTCACCCCACCCAAAATGTTTGGTAGCAAAGCTATATGGAAAACCAAAATTATTGTTTATTTTTTAAAATTCAGATACTATAATGAATATTCTTAATGTTTCTAGAACGAATGATTATTTTTTTCATAAATATTTACAAAAAAAAAAAAGAAAAGAACCAAATTTGGATACTAAGAAAATAGAAAATAAAGGAAAAGATGAAAACATGGAGAGCAGTAAGCACCAGACGTGCAGAGATGTAATAAATACCGTTGACCGTTGACCGTTTCGCTATTCTCCAAATAAAATTATAACGGTAAACGAACCCTTGATTTCCTCTCTTCCACTTTTCTTCCTCTTTCTGTATTGAAAGCAAAAGCAAAAGCAAAATTAAGAAAAGCAGATTAGAAAAGAAAATGGAAAATAAATAATCAAAAATTAAAATTAAAATTAAAATTAATGATAAGAATAATAATAATAATAATAATAATAATAATAATAAAAAAGTCAATTGCGAGTTCAACAATTTCCTCCTCCGTTTCTTCTTCCCCTTTCCAGTTTTCTTCCCTCTCCACAGGCTGCGAAAATGGAGCGCAAGAAGACCATGACGATGAACTGGGATGGACTCTGCGACGACGACGAGGACGACCGTTTTTTCGAGTCCATGGAGCGAATGTCGTGCGCCATGCCGGAGGATTTGGCTTCCTCTTCCGACGACGACGATTTCGAAGACAGTCGAATGTCGTTTGCCTCCGTCGTCTCCACCGCCAAACACGAAGAGTTCAGAGCCTTCGCGATGACTTCACAGATGACGCCGGAGTACGATATTTGGATGGCGACACCAGGTTCGATTAAGGAACGTCGCAAGAGATTGCTGGAAGGAATGGGATTGAATAGTGGTAAACAGTTCCAGAGGATCCAGAGTAAGGCACTCCAGCGGGAGATTTCGAGGAAATTACTCGCGAACGTCGAAATTTCTCAACCGGAAACGACGACTGTCGTATCTCCTGAAAATGTGGATCAGAAGCAGGAACCACCGGAAACGCCATTGCCGATCGTGCTCGTCCGCTCGCGATCTCATGGAGAAAGAGGCACATTCACGATTTCCAGGGAACGGAATGACGACCTAATCAAAAACGTCCCGAGGCAGAGCCTCAGGAGAACTTACTCAACGATCATGGCGTCGAGTGCTCGGATCCGCAACTATCCTGATGCGATCACAGTTTCGTCGAACGAATGCGGACAATCGAGCGGTGCAGTTTTTGTAATCAAGAATCTGGATACAGGGAAGGAGTTCATCGTGAATGAATACGATCAAGACGGAATGTGGAATCGACTCAGCGATCTCCAAACAGGAAAGCAACTTACAATGGAGGAATTCGAGAAATGCGTTGGATACTCACCGGTGGTGAAGGAATTGATGCGAAGAGAGAACGTATCAAGAATGAACGGACAGTTCGGCGATAGGAAAATCAACATGAATTCGTATCTATCGAAGAGCTTGAGAATGAGCAAGAGAAGAGGAGCGGCTCTATTGAAGAACATCAAAGGCTCCATGACAGGTTTAATCGGGGAAAAGGATAGAGAAATACCTCAAGCATCGCTAGAGACAAGACCTAGCAGGAACGCGTCGTCGTCGTGTCATTCTCCGCCTCGGAATTCGACTTCGACGCCGCCGTCGTCAGATCAGTGGGTGAAAGTGAGACAGAGCGGGAGATCGTACAAGGAGCTTTCGGCGCTGCATTTCTGCCAGGAAATTGAGGCGCATGAGGGCTCAATTTGGGTGATGAAATTCAGTTCTGACGCGCGGTTGCTGGCGAGTGCGGGTGAGGATAGAGTAATTCATATATGGGAAGTGCAGGAATGCGAGGTGATGTCGATGAAACCGAACGAAGAAGGAAGTATGACGCCGCTTCATCCTTTGTATTGTCCTTCGCCTGAAAGACCTGCCATTGGAGAGGCTTCGGCGTTGCCGTCTGAGAAGAGGAAGAAAGGGAAAGGGCTTTCTGGGAGCAGGAAAGGGACTGTGATTCCTGATTATGTTCATGTTCCTGAAACTGTGTTCTCGCTTTCGGACAAACCACTCTCCTCTTTCACTGGTCATCAAGACGATGTTCTGGATCTCTCTTGGTCTTCTAATTCTCAGGTAACTTCTCTCTCTCTCTCTCTCTCTCTCTCTCTCTCTCTCTCTCTCTCTCTCTCTCTCTTGTTTGAAAATTAAAATTGAATTTGATCAATGATTATAATTGAATTATAATTTTTATTATTCTTAATCTTTTATTATATTAAAATAAATAGTTTCACAAAGTTTGGAGATTTAATTTAAAAAAAAAAAAAAGAAATAAACTTATTAAATATTAAGATAGAAAGTTAAAAGCATCTACACAACTTAGAATACTAAATATAATTTAATCAAGAATAAAATAGGCTGGTTTACTAAAAATGTTATATGTTTTTTCTCCAGAAAACATACTTGTTTACTCTCCTCTCCTTCTTTGAAATATTTTAGATTCTAAAATATTTTTGAATCAAACAAATATTCAGGTTCACACAAGCAAATACTTAAACTCTCTTATTTTCATAGCATCATAACTCAAAATTAGATAAAATTGTAACTTTAAATTTAGAAAGGTACTGCAATATTTAGTTTATACAAGTTTTTGTTCTTAAGACAATCAAAATAGCTTTTCTCATACGATGAAAAATTAGTTAGATTTTTGAATAAAAACAGCGAAGTTAAAAGTTTGTTTTGAAAAAGTTATTAAATTGTGAATTTATTATACCTTTAATAAAAACATAAATGAGTGTAAAATTTGAGTTTATGACAGAATTAATGGGTGAATTAGCCAAAATTACAAAAACCAGGGTCGTATTAGTAGGTAATGTTTGACAACTAAAAACCTTGATGTTGATGGAATTTTAGCTCCTGCTTTCATCTTCAATGGACAAAACCGTAAGGCTATGGGACATGGAAACCAAAAACTGCTTAAAGATGTTTGCCCACAACGATTATGGTAAGAATTTCACTAGCTTGTCTGAGGTAGCTCATTCTGTTTCTCACTTGTACGATGCTTTATTATTATTATTTATATTATTTTTGTGGAAAAAACATTTAATTATTATTATTTTTTACAGTGACCTGCGTTCAATTCAACCCAGTAGATGATAACTATTTTATCAGTGGAGCACTTGATGCAAAAGTGAGGATATGGAACATACCTGATCGATATGTCGTCGATTGGACTGATCTTCATGAAATGGTCACCGCCGCTTGCTATACGCCTGATGGCCAGGTTGGTGTCTCATTCTCCATTTGCATCAAATCTTTGGTTTTGTTTCGTAACATTCTGCCTCTTTTACCAAATACGCATCAATCATTTGAGAACATCTGACTCTTAAAAAGGCCAAACAAAAAAAGTTGTAAGCTTTTGTTTGATCAATTCAAGAGATGATGAACATGAATGCTTTTGTCTGATCTGCAGGGTGCTATAATAGGTTCACATAAAGGGAGCTGTCGCAAGTACAGCATAGAGGGTACAGTTTCATGCACATCTCTATATTAAATTCCAACCGATTTACTATAATAACGATGATTTATATTGTTTACTTTAACTTACTTTGAAGTATAGATTCCAAATTAGAACAAAAGAACCAGGTTGATTTTCTAAGCAAAAAGAAGTCTACTGGAAAAAAGATCACTGGTTTCCAAGTAATCCTTTGTTCTTCTAGCCTTCATTGTTAACTTTTGCCAAGTGAATTCAATTATGGTGTAATAACTTGGTACCTTAACAGTTTGTTCCAGGTAGCCCTACTGAAGTGCTGGTTACTTCTGCTGATTCTCGAATTCGGATCTTGGAAGGCACCGAAGTAACTCACAAATTCAAAGGTAAGAAAACTCTCCATGTCCACCTAAAAGCAGTAGAGAAGAAGGAAGGTCAATTGCCATATGTTACAAACAAACAAATAAATAAAACTTTATTGTTTTCTTCCTAATTTGTTGTTCTAAATTTTAGAAATTGATTGATAGAACTGACATGGGATATCAGGTTTCCGAAATACAAGCAGCCAACTTACAGCATCATTCAATCAAGATGGGAAATATGTGATATGTGCAAGTGAAGATTCTCAAGTTTTTGTATGGAAGAGAGAGGAGCCAAGAAATCCAAGAAATCCAAATTCTGGAAAGAAAGGTTTGATAGCAACCAGAGGTCATGAACACTTCCCTTGTAGAGATGTTTCTGTAGCAATCGCATGGCCTGGAATGATAAGCGGTAAACCGCCATTGGTGCAAATGTACTCCAAACGACATTCAAAACGAGGCCAATCGCAGCCACCTTCAGCCTGCAGCTCACCAACTCGAGAAGAAAACGGCTCATTTGTAAACCCTAAGAAACTATTGCCACCTTTACCAAAGAAATACAACAATAATACCTCACCTCCTCCAGATGAGGAGCAGCAGCAGCAGCAGCAGAGACAGCAAGCTCAAGTTGCTCGGTCGGAGTCGAGAACTGGTGAAGCACTCAGTCCATCACCTTCAGCCTCTATCAGGTATGGCGATTCGCCTTCTATTTCTTCTTCTGCTGGCATCAACAACAACCCATCAGCTTCGCCCTGGCCTTCCTCTTGGTCCTGGTTTGATGTTGGAAGCAGCCATGGCCACCATGCTGTCCCAGCTACTGCATGGGGATTGGTCATTGTGACAGCTGGGTTGGGAGGTGAAATAAGGGTCTATCAAAATTTTGGACTGCCACGTAGGATTGGACGACAGACTAATTTCTGGCAAACTACATAGGATTGCTTGGTTGATCATAAAACAAATTCCATGGTGTTCTACTTAGGATCGGGAATTTGCTTCTAGTATTACCATGTTGGAACTCTTCTAGTGTATTGAGTTCTAGGATAAAAAAGTTCTCAACATATATAGGACTAAAATACAAGCTGCTGGAAGGTTGTTTCAGAGAATAAAGCTCCTGTTTTTGTAGATTATTGTTACATAGATCACATGTGAACTTCAGAAACTAATGTAAAAGTACCCTACCTGCGAACAATTTTTCTTATTCAACAATATTACAATAGGTTTTTGTATATACCACCAGAATGGTGATAGCTATGGATTAATTCAGGCAATTCAGTCTTAAAATAGGTTTAACCAGAGAGGCAGCTATTAGCCTACTGGTGTTCTGCTTTTTTTACTGTAACAAGGGTAGGAAATAACGTCACTATCTCCAGCAATTATCTAATTGGCATTGTTTCCAAATTCTAATTCAGTGATTTCTGAAACCGTCAAAAAGTCTTGACAATTTTGATATAATTCGATGGAATGCAAATGTAGAAGCAAAAAGATTAATCTTGTTGCAGCAGATCAATGTTTCTACTCAAGTAGTCAAATTATGTGTTTTTTTAGATCTAAACATTACAGCATATGAAAAGAGAGCTGATGGACAAACCTCAAATCATCTCTGGAAACGTAATAAATAACACCGCAGCTATGTTGCCTTGAGTTACAACTGCAGATTTATGATTATTTTCTTCCCCATGTGATGGCTTTTTATTTTCAGAGACGTGGAGGTAGAACACCAATCTTCTTGGATACTTCGGCCTCCATTCCTCCCATTGAAAAACTGCAGAATGCAGCATTAGAGTATATGGGGAGAACAAAAACTGTAGATACAGCCAGAACCACTTTTATAGACAAAAATTTATCTTAAACTTTTGAAGCGTTAAAAACATGCGAGATTGATTGAAAAGCACAGATCGTGATTAGAAGCCGAAGGAAAGCACAGATAAGGATCAGCTACTTCAAAATTAAAATCAGCTTGATCTAATCTTCAACTAACGACCAACTGTACTACTGCAAAATTAAGGGCTCAAGCATAAAATTACAGTCAAAACCTTTCAAGATATAAGTGGGGGCAGTGTATTTTACATGAACAGACAAGAGTAATTACCTTTTCCAAGCAGCGGTGTTCTGCAATTGCCCATTTACTCATAATGTAGGTAGCCACCATTACAAAAATATAACCAGCAACAGTTTGTGTTGCGATATTGAATCCCAGCCATTGGTGAATCTCAGTTGTGTAGTTGGCATAAGTTACAACATGAAAGGAAAGGAAACCCACGTGGAATTTTGTGGCCTCCCTTTCCACTACGGTCTCTAAGACTCTTCAATATGAGATGGTGATAATAAGTTAAAGATTTGACAGAGTAATCAAAATCCAAAACCAATCTTCATTTGGCGGTCATACACCAGGGTGTAAAGTGGGTGGTTTATGTAGTACGCTATGAGAGCTCCAAAACTCCAATGATACGTGTAGTTACGGAAGACACTTGACAAGGGTGAAGCTGTATGACTAAGCCTATGAACAAGAAGTTCTACATGATCCGCTTAGACTAATGGAGGAAATAATAGTACATGGCATACGTCTGAACAGGGTAGGTACGACGCTCCTCTATTTAGTCAAAAAAAAAATCTTAAACTGGGTGGGATAGAGATAACGAGTGGCTCCAAATACTCCCAGAAGAAGTGCGTTCTATAAGAAACTTGGGGACAGTAATCTTGGAGTTTCTTGCTTGAGATTAGAACAATAGGACTCTTTTGACCCTGGTTTGGCAGACAGGGTAAGACGCTGTCCAGAGGAACGTATTTTCTTCCTGTTGAATGGGAGAATATAAGAAGACAATCAGTTTGCTGAGTTTGGGAGACATTAATCTCTCGTTTATCGTGTTAGGAAGAGATTAAGTGGGAAAATTGAAAGATATAACAAAATACATGAGGAATTGCCAGCTAGTATTGTATCAATCAATTCATGCTTTAGCAATCGAGAAAGACAATAGAAAGCTACTGCAACACATGATCAGAAGTTAGAACTAAACTCCTTTTTATCTCATCGAACGCGTAATTATGAATAGCAAGACCTTGCTGCACTAGAACTTCCGTTATCATTCCTATTGAGATGGATTTTCAATATGACAGAGCAAGCAGTCGATAAAATCAATTATTGTAGCAGAAGCGCGAAATCTAAAGCTTAATCAACCAGAAACTGATGACAGAAACAAAAATAGTGGAGTCAAGACTTGCGTCGCTGATGAATGGTCTCCTGCAAGTCTTTCACCGTAGTCTACAAATCTTCATACAGAAGTAAATTAAGTAGACACAAATTCAGAAATAAAGAAGCAATAAAACAGTGAGATTCCGATTTTCGACTCTATTGCACAAAGATACATCAGAACAACAGGCTCCACGTAAAGAAACACAACAAAGTCCGCAAAATCTCATTAACCAAGAGCGAGAAGCTCACCGAATCATCGATCTGAAGGCCAGCAGCTATGATTTTGTTAGATAAAACATTGGTTTTTCCATTTTTTCCTAGATTCACACGATTTCAGAATACCTCAGTTTCACCAACAAAACAGGTCGAATGGATCACCAACAAAACACGTCCAATGTATTACCAAAGTTTTAGACCGCAATTTTGTAGGGAGTAGCCCAAATAGTTCCGTCATTCTCTCTCTTTTATTTTACCCATTTTATTTTTCTTCCAACAACCTCCCGTAGAACATTTCCTCTCACCTAATTTCTGCAGCCGATTATCGAAAAACAACCGATTTTCTCTACCACTCCTGGAAACGATGGAGACCTTCATTGATTGGACGAAATGTGGACGAAGTATACACTGATTCCTGTTGCAGCAGCGAGGTATTGTAAGATTAGAAAAGAGAGAAGATGAAGGTATGAGAACTGATTAATGGCGTGAAGTTGGAAGTTCTGGGAGTTATGGCGAGCCGACGCAATGAAACTAGGCGGAGTATTAGGTGGTCCCACTTGTAGTCATTAGTGAATATTATGGGATGTGAGGGATAGCCATTTTAGTTTTTATTTTTTTACTTTATTTTTCTAAAAAGAAATATCATAATTGTTTTTAGTTTTTTTTTTTTTTTTTTAATACAAACTTGTTTTATAATTTATTCTTG